TATACTGACGATGTAGCACTGATAACAAAGGGAAAGTTTCTGGAAACACTATTTGAACTTATGCGGGATTACCTGAACTTAGTTGAAAACTGGACTTTTAGCTGCAAGCTGGGTGTGAACCCTAGAAAAATAGAGCTTGTTATTTTTACTAGGAGGTAGAAGTTACCGAATAGCCGTTTTATCTCAGTGGCAAGTCTTCCAATAGGTCTCTCTGACAGCGTGAAGAATCTGGGATTGATCCTTGACGTCAAGCTTTCCTGGAAGCCACACTTAGAGGAAAGAATCAAAAATACTACAATAGCCCTAGAGGAGCCATTGCCAACCGCTGAGGTCTCTCGCCGAAAGTAGTTCATTGGCTTTATGACATAAATTAAGCCAGTTTTATTATACATATGGGGTACTCCTCTAGTGGAATCTACTAGAAAAGGCCTTCATCGTCAAACAGCTGGAAGCAGTGCAACGAGCTGCCTTAATTGGGATCAGTGGGACACTTCGGACCACTCCTACTCTGGCGCTCAATGCTATGTTTTAATGTTGTGCCCATAGATTTAGCAGGAATAGCTGTCGCTGTGGCGCCGCAGTAAGGCTAAGTGAGGTGGGATTTAAGTTCGCCTCGAGCTATGGCCACGCCAGTATTCTAAAAAGCTACCGACTTAAACATACCACTGCATGCCGCTTGTGGTCCGAAGGCATTCCTAGCCCACCCACATTTCAGTGAACGAGGACTGGGAAGGGTGCAGCATCTGGAATCGGGGTCCTGTAAACATTTTTACGGACGGATCGAATCTGAATGTTAAGGTAGGGTGAGGTGTCTTCTGCTAAGAACTCTCCAAGCAAAGGTAGCCGCAATACAGGAGGCTGCGGACTGGTTGCTTGCTAGTGTAACACCTTTTAAAGAGGTGAATATCCACTCCGACAGCCAACAGATCGAAAACGGAGAGGGATTGTTTGACTTCCTTATCGACCGCATCGGATAAGTACGCTATTAAGCTTATTTGGGTTCCGGATCATAGCGAAATCGTGGGAAACTGCATGGCCGACAGGGAACCCTTGAGGAATTGTACCCTGTTAGAGAAAGTCTGGGTGCACCGCCGGACCTGATGCGGTATACTTCTGCGCAGATTGGCGTTTAGTCAGGTCAGTGTGTGCCGGGCGACGGCCTTGGAATGCAAGGTGGCTAAATCGCTCTGGTCACGTGTAGACCGGAGGCGGTCAAGAGAGCTCTTCGGACTAAGCAAGTTACACCTCTCTTTATTGGTCTAACTAACTGGTCATTGCCTGATAGGTAAGCTGAATATTGTCGATGACCCTTACTGCACCAGCTGCATGGACGACATTGAGGTGGAATCATCTCAACACTTGCTGCTCTGGTGGCCTGCCTTTGCGAACCTAAGGCTCAAGAACCTCGAGCCCCATTTCTTCCACACTCCCGATGAGCTCTCGGGAATGGATAAATATCTTCTTACGGGTCAGCTAGTATGTATGTATGCATATAAAACCCAAGCTGCTTCAGCGAACTGAAAAAGATCGAAGATTATGAAATTTTCAGGCCGTAATTCAAAGACTGCTTTCAAATTATTAAAAAAAATAAATCATGATTTGTTAGTGAATAACAAAAAGAATAAATAGTTATTAATCATTGTTATAAAATAAATATTTAAATAATTTTATTCCCTAAAAATGCTGACCTCAATTAATTTGAAATCTCACCGTTTCCCCCTTCAACACTCTTTACCCGTCCACCCACTAACCTTCGCTATATCCTCTTGTGTATCGAATGGTTTCGGCTGTCCACGCGTACCAATCACTGTGCCCGCATGCTGTGGCAATGACTGCACCTGCGCCTGTATGACCTGCGGTGGCTGGCGATGGTATTGCGGTGGCACTGTTGCCTTCGGTGACTGTGTTGTGCCCGCCGGACTGCTGAAGGCAGAACCGAAACGTATACGACTTGGCACATGTTGACTGTTAATTGATTGTTGCTGTTGTTGTTGCTTGCCCGAACGTGTGCCACTACCGCTACCAGTGCTGCCTAGGGACGCGGCGCTATTATCGACAACTTCACAACCCACATTGCGTGGCCAATCACAGGTTTGTAGCTCATGCGAATACATCAATCCGCCGGTGCAACTTTCGAGCAATGCGCCACCGAATACACACACATAATACTGTGTACAATCGGACGGATGCGGATAGTAGCCAAACTCTTCGGGGCAATCGAAATTAACACCATTCGAGGCGGACGCTTTGACATTTGTGCCGAAACTGCGCGAGCTGGTGATGCGCGATGAACGTTTTTGTTGTGTTTGCGCTTGAACGGTGATAGCTACAATGAGAAGAAGATGATGGGAAAGACATTACTATTATTGCGAGTTTATGAAAGAAAAAAAAATTTAAATGATTAAAAAAGTTATTGAGTTATACATATGAACATACTGTAGTAGTAATTAGTTAGAATAAAATTAAAGTTTATGGCTGTAGATCGATTTTAATTGGTTGAACGATCATCGTAATTGAATTTGTATACATAGCTTCGCTTCTGAGATGCTTTAAGTAATTGAGATTGGCGATGGTGCTTTAGAGTTTGTCGCCACCACGCGGTTAATATGCAATTTGACCTTCAAACAAAATGCAGCGTGAACGGCAATCCATTTATGGTTAAAGCTACAAACTGCTTGATTTTATTTTTTTGCTTTAAACTTTTATTTGTTTTGCATCTTCTTGAAAGATGAGCGCTCCATTTTAGTCAAGTTGAGCTAAGTTATTTCAATAAATAATTCCATGTGTGTGTGTGTGTGTTTGAATACATACGAGTATGCTGGTGTCTGTTCACATGTCATTGTCTGTTTAATAATTGCATTCGAGTTGTTGAAAAGGTCAATCTTATCGACTAGCTAATCGTTTAGTCAGTGGTGTTGTAGTTTTTTTAAGTTTCCCACAAAGCTGTTGTTGACAAGCTAGGCAACCGAGCATGTGGTGCTACCTTAAGCATCAAAAGCATCGAAAAGAAATCATTTCGGGGACACCCTTCAAAACAAAATTCATATACACCAGGATTTTCATCAAAGCATTTTATCGAGCTCTTAATATTCGATAGTCATATTTACACCAAAATTTGTTGAACATAAGCTCAGAAAAGAGTCAGATAAAGTGGATATACATATGTACGAATGGATGTAGTTACGCGAAGCACGCTTGCATCATTTATATATATGTATATTGCTTGGTAGCGGCAGAGCTGAAATGCGCAATGAGTTCGTTCATACATACATATATATGTATACATACATACGTGCATTCAAACATACATATATACATATTTAGTTACTCGTACTTCTTTTTTCCCCTTCCTTATATCCCTCCCCCTACCTATATCTTCCTTCTCACTCATGTAACGTTTTTAGTTTTAAAAATTTCACTCTCTATTTTTGCGATACCGCCGCCTAAGAAGTTTCACTTCAAAAAAAAAAAAACATTTTTTAAGCTGTGATATATGAATAAATTTTTTTGCAGACGTGAGA